AAAAAAAATCTACTTCTGCTTCATTGACTACACAAACTATGGCAAGTTCTTAAAGAAATAGGTATGCCTGACCACCCTATCTATTTCCTGAGAAATCTATACGTGGGACAGGAAGCAACAGCAGAATACTGTACATCATGTGAAAGGCTGGACTGGATGAATCCCAAACTGGAATTAAGATTGCTGAAAGAAATATCAACAGCTTCTGATATGCAGATGATACCACTCTGATAGCAGAAAGTGAGGAAGACTTAAAGAACCTCTTAATGAGGGTGAAAGAGGAGAGCTTAAAAAATTGAGGCTCAACATAAAAAACCCTAAGATCATGACCACTGGTCCCATCACCTCCTGGCAAATAGAAGGGGAAGATATGGAGGCAGTGACAGATTTACTTTCTTGGGCTCCATAATCACTACAGATGGTGACAGCGCCACAAAATTAAAAGACACCTGCTTCTTTGGAGGAAAGCAATGACAGGTTGCTGTCCTCTGAAGATGCCGGCCACAGACTGGCGAAATGTTAGGAAGAACACGGCCAAAAAGCCCGAAAAACCCTCAACAACCAAAAGCAATGACAAACTTAGACAACATCTTAAAAAGCAGAGACATCGCCTTGCTGACAAAGGTCTCCATAGTCAAAGCTGTGTTTTTTTCCATTTGCGATGTATGGAAGTGAGAGCTGGACATAAGGAAGGCTGACCACCAAAGAATTGATGCTTTTGAACTGTGGTGCTGGAGGAGACTCTTGAGAGTCTCCTGGACTGCAAGGAGATCAAAACTAACCATTCTGAAGGAAATCAACTCTTGAGTGCTCACTGGAAGGACAGATCCTGAAGCTGAGGCTTCCATATTTTGGCTATTCTCTACCTAGAAAACTGTGAAAAGGCTGGCCATTAATAAGAATTGGCTTGATGTCATGTGATTGTAATTTTTATTTATTTGGCATACTCTATAATTTTTATATGTTGTAGGTTTGTATCAGTTGTTTAAGATGGTTTCAAATGTATTGATCGTTCTAACAAAAATAGATGTGGAAAAGTAGAACTAAAATTTAGAAGAAAATTATTCCCTGGAAAAGACCCTGATGTTGGGAAAGTGGAAAGGCAAGAGGAGAAGGGGACAACAGAGGACCAGATGGTTGGACAGTGTCATTGAAGCTACCAGCATGAATTTGACCAAACTCTGGGAGATTATGGTCTGTCATTGAACAACCCACAACTTGAAGGCATCTGCATAACAATTCAAGCATCAAGGCTCCAAAAATGTAGGTCCACCATTGGGGGAAGGTACTGAACTCTTAGGAATGAGGTGTTGAGCCAATGTTTAAAGACTCCCCCCCGACAGTCTGATAATTTTGTTTTTCTTATTTCTTTAGAAGGCCATTTTGTAGAGGGTCTCCCTTCATTTTTCCACTTTTGGGGGGTTGTGTTTGCATCCATCTGACCACTACAATGTCTCAGAATGCTACTACTAAGTATTGTGGATGAAGCAAAATGCTGGACAACACACTTGTGTTTTTAGCTCCTTGTAATGGCAATGTCAACCAACGAACCAAATCTTTTGGAGGGGAGAGAAAAGGGGGAAAATCAAAAGTTTTCTTACAATCACTATTAATATTGAAGAGAAATTAAAAACAAAGAAGTCTATAACATTGTGGCAACTTAAAGACTCATTTAAAACATTTAATGTGAGCTTTTGCGGATCAAATCCACTTCCTTATTGTCAGAAAAAGTGAACTGGATCCGCTATTAATATATACAGTAGTAGTAGTTTTTCTTTGAGGTGCCACAACGTTTTTTTCTTCTTTAATGTTTATTTTTCGTTTGTTTTTGGCCTGATCTGCTAGCAGAGATGAACACAGCTACCTTTTCTAAAACTGCTAATAAATAAACCTCGGCTGTGGAACGGAAAATCAAAAGTTTTCTTACAATCACTACTAATATTGAAGAGAAACTAAAAACAAAAAGTCTATAACATTGTGGCAACTTCAGTACTTTGGCCATCTCATGAGAAGAAAAGACTCCTTGGAAAAAACCTTGATGTTAGGAAAGTGTGAAGGCAAGAGGAGAAGGGGACGACCGAGGATGAGATGGTAGAACAATGTCATCGAAGCAACCATCATGAATTTGACACAACTCCGGGAGGCAGTGGAAGACAGTAGGGCCTGGCGTGCTTGGTTCCATGAGGTCCCGAAGAGTTGGACACGATTAAACGACGACATGGAACACCCTTCCAACCGAAATTCGGCTGGCACCCTCGCTGGGTGTTTTTAAAAGTCAGTTAAAAACTCGGCTATTCAAGCAGGCCTTCCCTTCCCAATTAAGTGATTTTCATCCTTACTTTTTTCTTTTCTTTTCCCTTATGGTATGCCATCTTGGTAATGTCTTGTTCGTAAGTAATTGCTATAATTGTAATTTTTAAGTTATATATGTTATATTACTGTGTTTTATTTGTAAGCAGCCCCGAGTAGACATTGTCTAGAGGGGCGGGGTAAAAATCAATCAATCAATCAATCAATCAACCAACCAACCAACCAAACAAACAAACAAACAAATGTACTAAGAAACTTCCTCTGGAGAAATTGGGTGGAATTCTTGCCCAAATGCGTTCCAACAGTTAGTCATCAAAGGTCAGGATGCTCTCAGAGATTTGGGAAGGCAGTGGAGATGGGAGGGAGAGAGGGAAGAAGGAAGGAGCGAGGAATTTGCAGAGGATCCCTAGTCTGGAGAGCAGAGCGTGTGTTGTATTTTTACTGCCGTGAGAGCGGGAGTTTGCAGAGAGCCCCTGGCTCCTCCTCCTCCTCCTCGGGCCCCTCCTCCTCCTCCCTCCAGCCTCGCTTTGCCGCCGGCTCCAGTTTCGCCGGCAGCAACACCGGCATCAGCGAAGGGGAGGAAGAGGAGGAGCGGGGAGGGAGAAAGGCGATAAGGAGGGTTTTTGTCGAGCGCGGCCGGCTCTTCATTCATGCATCGGGTCGGAAGAGGGAGCGGCGGTGGCGGGGACGGAAGGAGTGAGTGAGCCCGCCTGCTCGCCCGCCCGCCCGCTTGCGAGGGAGGAGCCGCTGCGGAGCCAGCCGCCACCTCCCCAGTCGGCAGCCGCCTTGCTAGCCGCGGCGTGTGCTCCTGAGCCCCTGCCGCCTCTCCTCCTCAGTTGGATCGCCTGGGACGGCGGCGGGAGCGAGGAGGGGGCCGGACCATGCCGTGGAAGCGAAGCCCTCGGAAGCCCTGGCGGCTTCCCCGGCGCTCGCTGGTGGCCGCGCTTTTCCTCTTCTCGCTCTCCTCTTCCTTCCTCTACTTCGTCTACGTGGCTCCCGGCATTGGTGAGGGCAACGCGCGCGGGTCGGGGCCGGGGAGAGGGTG